ACTAAACATTTTGCCCCATCTTCAACTCAAACTTTGGCACCACCTTAAACACAAACTTTAGCACCACCTTGAACTCAAACTTTGGCACCACCTTGAACTCAAACTTTGGCACCACCTTGAACTCAAACTTTGGCACCACCTTCAACTCAAAATTTGGCACCAACTTTAACTCAAACTTTGGCACCACCTTCAACTCAAACTTTGGCACCACCTTGAACTCAAACTTTGGCACCACCTTGAACTCAAACTTTGGCACCACCTTTAACTCAAACTTTGGCACCACCTTCAACTCAAACTTTGGCACCACCTTTAACTCAAAATTTGCCACCCTCCTTAACTCAAAATTGGGCACCCTCCTTAACTCAAAATTTGCCACCACCTTTAACCAACCACCTTTAGTTTAGATTGCAACATTGTAACATATTTTTTTCTTCTTCTTCTGTCTGCAGGTTCGGCATGGGCGTGGTGTCCGCCCTTCAGTCAGCTGGAGCAGCGGGGATCGGGCTTGCTGCGAATGCTGTCATTGGGGCGGGTGGGGCTGCGTTAGGCGGCGCCGTCATAGGCGGAGTAGCAAAGGCGGCAGACGCCGCTTCGGGGCCAAATGAGGGGGCTGCAAATGGCGATGATAGTGGTGGTGGAGAGGGAAAAGATGGAGCTGGTGGAGATGGCAAAGACCGAGTTGGTGGAGAGGGAAAACATGGAGCTGGTGGAGAGGGCAAAGACAGAGTTTCTGGAGATGGCGAAGACAGAGTTGGTGGAGACGGCGAGAGTCTAATAGGTGGATCTGTCGACCGTAGAGTAGGTGGAGATGGTGAAGTGGATTCGACGGAGTTAGTCAGAATGAAGTAGGTGGGGTAGGAGATACTACAGACTACCTTTCCAGTAAACAATTTAAGTGGTGATACGGTGTTGATAGAAAAGATGGCTGCCACCGTATTGATGAGAAGCATAATTTGAATAAAAAGTGACAGAGTGTCGGCGCTGGCGACAAACATGATGATTTTTGTGATAGTGACAGTGTGGTCAGCAAATAATTGACAGTGTGGTCTGCCAGGAAGTGACAGTGAAGTTCTCACTCGTGCGCCAACATCCGTTTACAGCCCATTCATCCAATGAAGCCTCCACAGAGTTCTGTTAAGGCTGCTTGTTTAAACTTGAGCATCTCATAAGCTTATTTGACTGCGATAAGACTTAATCTCATGTTTAATTTTAGCCTATCAACAGATGTAAGACATCATCAAATAACTATATTAATCAATAAAGATACTTTGCAATCCACTCAAGTTGGTTTTTTTAGGGTTTCTTTACATTTTGGTAAACATTTATTTCATTAGCACTAGTCATTCGTTTTGTTGGGTTTCTTTACATTTTGGTAAACATTTATTTCATTAGCACTAGTCATTCGTTTTGTTGGGTTTCTTTACATTTTGGTAAACATTTATTTCATTAGCACTAGTCATTCGTTTTGTTGGGTTTTTTTTTTAAACTTTAAAGTGTTACTAAACAATCTTACAAAATTTCACGGGGCTCTGAAAAAAAAAATAATGTTAGCCCGAGAAGCCGGGAAACTTCCACAAAAAGAAACCGGGATACTGAAACACTGAGACACCGGGCCACTAAGACACATTGATAATAGGCCATTAAGACACCGGGCCACTGAGAAACATTGATAATAGGCCATTAAGACACCGGGCCACTGAGACACATTGATAACAGGCTATAAAGACACCGGGCCAATGAGACACATTGATACCAGGCCATTAAGACACGTTGGTACCAGGTCATTAAGACACCGGGCCATTGAGACACGTTGATACCAGGTCATTAAGACACCGGGCCACTTAGACACATTGATACCAGGCCATTAAGACACCTGGCCACTGAGACACGTTGATCCCAGGCCATTAAGACACCGGGCCACTGAGACACATTGATACCAGGCCATTAAGACACCGGGCCACTGAGACACATTGATATCAGGCCATTAAGACAACGGGCCACTGAGACACATTGATACCGGGCCATTAAGACACCGGGCCACTGAGACACATTGATACCAGGCCATTGAGACACCGGGCCACTGAGACACATTGATACCAGGCCATTAAGACACCGGGCCACTGAGACACGTTGATGCCAGGTCATTAAGACACCTGACCACTGAGACACGTTGATACCAGGCCATTAAGACATGGGGCCTGTTGTGAACTAGTTTGTTGTGAATGTTGGGTAGGGGGAGTTGTGGATCGTGAGAGTGTTTTGTGAGTTGTTGATCGTGAGGTCAGAGCGTGAAGTTAGTCCGTGATGTGGAACGTCTGCGTAGGCTGAGTTGTTGGGTGGTTTTTATAAAATGGATGTGTGTTAGCTAGAGGTCAGTGTTAGGCAGTCAGAGTCAGTGAGAGACAGGGAGAGTCAGAGTTAGTCAAGAGTTAGTTGGTTGTTAGTCGTGATAAGAGAGAGTGGTAGTTGGACTGATGAATGTTCCACGCTCTATATATATTGTCATTAAATAACGGTCATCCTGTTTTATGAAGTATCGAATAAAATAGTATATATTGTTACAATGGACCTTTTGCGCTCTATGTGAGAGGAAGTATTAAACGAACGTCGTAGCATTTCAAGTACTACAAGGCTGTAACATTTCAAGTTACGACGAAGGTCGTAACAGGGCCACTGAGACACATTGATTCCAGGCCATTAAGACACCTGGCCACTGAGACACATTGATACCAGGCCATTAAGACACCGGGGCCACTGAGACACTTTGATACCAGGCCATTGAGACACCGGGCGACTGAGACAAATTATACCAGGCCATTGAGACATCGGGCCAATGAGACACGTTGTTACCAGGTCATTAAGACACCGGGCCACTGAGACACATTGATATCAGGCCATTGAGACACCGGACCACTGAGTCACGCTGATACCAGGCCATTAGACACCGGGCCACTGAGACACTTTGACACTGAGATATCGGAACACTGCGACACGTTTGTCGCTAAGACACCGGGTCATTGTGGTACTGGGAGAGTAGTCCTTAATGCTGATTAAAACCGATACTTCTCTGAAAAGTGAACAAAGGAACTATGATTTTGAATCGCACTAGTTGGAATGCAACTTGCACTGTATACGTATTGACTCAAACCTCAGCCATTTATAAGATTGCTACGTGACTTACAGCTTGTTAACTGATAAGATGCTCTTTGAAGATAAGGCAACGTAATCCGAAATATATTGGTGAGGATGTTTGACATGTCAATACTTGTGTAAGCAGTGATCAGTAACATTCTTTGAGTGGAGATACATTTTCTAAACCATGTCTGCTGAGCAAATATTTAGCGAGTTTGCAGTGCGACAAAATTTATTTGAATTTTTAACGATGCAACAATGCCGCAATCGATTAAGGAAATCTGCGCACCTTGCGCAACTTTGTAGGAAACAGGGAAGTGTTCCCAGGCCTCAATATGTTGAGGAACACTGCTATAACGTTGTTATAAGTCAAGACGAAAATTATGCCATAGCTAAATCTTTTATTTATTTTGACGTGATCTTCAACTTAAACGAAAATAGGAGTATAATGACGGCGAGGCAGAGTCGCCCTTATATAAACCAATTCCTATTCTAATGATACCGTGGTCTATTAAAATAGTTTTGACATACCAATATGCTAATAAATTTAAACATCCTCACAAATTTATAGTTCCCGATGTACTTTAGCTAAGCTCTGAGAGAACTGTAAGTATATTTATAAGGTAAGCGTGTTTATAAATATATTGATATAGTCATCAAATTGGTTGCAATCGATGAAGTAAAGGATGACAATTACGTCTGAACAAAGGCAAGGGAGATGAGTGTGTCTATTTTACTAACGTCATCCGCTAGAACAAAGCTGTGTGTGGAATTTGTGGAGATTTCAATCAATTCGTATTTATTTTAAATGACTTTGAAGCCGTAATGTTCTTTTTTTTTTTTTTTACTAAATGCCATAATGGACCTTTTGTAACCATTTTTTTTTTTTAAAAAAAATATTTGAGCAAATGGCAATAAACCATTGAGCTACATAGGATTCAAAACGGCCTAAATTAGTCATCCGCTAGAACAAAGCTGTGTGTGGAATTTGTGGAGATTTCAATCGATTCGTATTTATTTTAAATGACTTTGAAGCCGTAATGTTCTTTTTTTTTTTTTTACTAAATGCCATAATGGACCTTTTGTAACCATTATATTTTTTTTTTTAAATACTTGAGCAAATGGCAATAAACCATTGAGCTACATAGGATTCAAAACGGCCTGAATTTATTCAGCACGCCATTTTGAAGACTTATTTATCGTAATGTATTTGATTTAGTCGTCTTTTCATTTAATTCATTTCCTCCCGAAGACTTCTCAAACACAATATTGTTTTTAAGAATGTGAACGCTTAGGTGCGATCATTGAAAAGCTGCCATTCGCCCTTCTACACGGTAACATTATACATTCCTTTTTCTGATAAACACGGATGAGAAGCTGAGTCAGAAATGGTGAATTCCTATCATGAATCCGATTCTCATTTTAAAAAAAAAAATTAAATTCGGACGAGTTTGATTTCAGACGCCATTCTTCAAGTCAATGTCTATAAACATTTTTTTTTAAACAGCAGGGGCACAAATACGTAATGCGCCATTTTTCAGTGCGTTCTTAGGCTTCTGCGGGTGTTTAAAACACCACACCTTTAAATCTGTGTCAAGAAATGTCGAGTTGCAATATTTTAATCGCCTACCATAAAATAGGATGAATTTGAACCGATTGCGATCCAACAACGTTATGGTACAACAAGACTTTAAAGATTTTGGACTGTACTACCAGCGACTGCCCATACGTTAAACTTTTTTTTTTTTTTTTTTTTTTAAGAGCGCCCTTTTACGGGACAGGCGAACCCGTGACAAACCATGGGAGACAACGACCCGTACGAGCCATGGCTGATAGGGGTGATCTGCCTTGCCCGCGTCCTGTTTTCTGCTCTTGGCGGAGCCGGGAACATCATCACGATCCACACGTTCTTGCGCATGGGCTGCTCCGACGCCGTCAACTTGTCGCTGGCGTGGCTCGCCATGTCCGATCTGCTGTTCCTCGTGTCCGTTCTCGTCAACTCCGCTGCTTTGATCCTCAAGTCTGTTGAGGAGCTGACCGGTTACAGACTTTGGTTCCCGGTTGAACCGGAAGCTGTCTACATTGTCTTCGCGAACACCGGAGCCGGTTCCTACGCCATCACGATGCTCATCACCACATTCATCACGATTGTACGCTGCCTGGGCGTGGTCAAACCCTTGCACTTTAGGAACCTGTTGTCGTGGAACGCAACGGTCGCCATCTTGTCACTGTTTTCGTCTCTTTCAGCCGTATCTGTTATTTTACTGTTGGCTTACCTGGGTATAACTCCTCAACTGGACCCAAATCTCAACAGCACAAGACCCACCCTCTGGTTCTCTCCTAGGAGAAAATTGATCAAGGATGTCATATTTTCACTGAGAGACGCTTTGTTACCATTTGTCTCTCAAGTACTTGTCAGCATCTGCGTGGTCATTATGGCGAATTCTCTTCGGAGGTCATCAAAATTTCGTGAAAGGCATGGAACAACTGTAAATGTTCAAATTAAACTACAAAAAAGTGGTTCCAGTATGAGGATTCCGCGGCGGAACACTGGTTCTGGTACCAATCTATCGCCATCAGACAGGTATAGAGGTAATTTCGACAGAACAGACCAGACTTTAGTCAGTAGTAGCACAGCTCAGTTCAGCAGTGCCGACGACGACATACCGGTCAAGCTTGCTTGCAAAGGGCTACAAGCTGTCCGACAAATGCTAATCATAGCATCCTTCTACACCGTGTGTAACCTACCGAAGGTGGCCACCAACCTTGCAGAACTCAGCGTACCCGGGTTCTCCCTGGGACACCGCTATCAAACCATTTACAACACTGTCGACGGCATCCGAGAACTGTTCCAAACCATCAATGCCGCCGCAGGGTTCTTGATCTATATGAGTTTCAATTCCATGTTTAGGAGGCGTTGTGCTCTTCAGCCGGTGTGTCGCCGTCTTTTCTCTCCGAGCTCTACAGACGTAGTAGCTAAAACATTTTCATCAGCTCGACGCGCCATCAAGCAACCAAGAGAAATTATATTAATTTGAAACACATGTGCAAAAAAAAAAGGGGGGGGGGTGGTGGTTGTGATGTTCTCAAAACTGGTTTCAAATGTGTGTTATTATCTTTATTTATTTCATTAGATTTGAACAACAAAACAAGTCCATCGAACTAATGTGACGTAATCATTTGCTATATTTTCAATATGGTCGAGTATACACTATACTTTTTCGTTTACTTCTCTGGAAAATCTCTACAAACTTTTTTTTATTTGGGTATGACAAATATATCTACACGTTAATAACTATTAATATGAATCCAAGCTAGGGTTCGCAGATACATCAGCAAATAATCAACCATTTTTAAATCATTATTATTAACTTCGCTTTTGCTCGTGGGTGGCTGGCTGACAAAAATCTTCGGAGGCTAACTGACTCACCTTCTGTCAACCCATCGAGCTGAAACTTGGCACATAGGCTCGTTGTTCATGACAATACATGCCATCACATTTTCAGCCCCACTATTGCACGATATTAAATTGTACAAAGGATTATTGTGTTGTTTAATGATGAAATCTGTGACAAACAGAGATTCAGAGATGGACCAGTCCATCTGCGTGCTAAACATACCGTTTCTCTGCTAGAACCAATTTGAACATTTGTATTTCTTTTACAACAACAAAAATAATTGAACTTGATTTGGTGTATGGATCCACTTACTTGGAATTTTTTTTTGAAACAACTTTCTTGTGTCGTAAAGATCTGAAAATTGGTGAAACCCCGTAGGCCCTGGTGATCGTTCATTCTATTAATTTTTAAAACCGTCATGTCACTGTTAACCCCATTAAAGACAGACATCATGTTTCCTTAAGCCTTATCAGATGAAGCCGATGTGTGCCTGGAGCTACTGCAGGGATCGGCAACCTTCTCCATGTTAAGAGCCATGTTATGTGCTAAGCAAACTTCTCCATATTAAGAGCCATGTTATGTGCTAAGCAAATAATATGATGTGCGTCGAAAGTCGACCGTGAACATTCATAATATAGATCTATTGCTGGGTCTGAATTTGTCTGTGGGTGCGCAGATGGCTGATCGGCCAAATTCTTGCAATGAACGTTCTGATGTAGGGGTTGAATGGGGGCAACTCCAGGTGTAGAGTTAACTCGGACTTTTCTGGCTTGTCAGTGTGCCAATGAAACGTTGATCTTGTGTTTTCTTTGTATGAAACAAGTTAATTTTCATTACAAAAGGTTAAGTGGATTGGCTGCTATGCCGACTGAATTTATTAAGTCTACATTTCTTTGCGAACAGAGAAACACGGGGTCAAGATGCATGAAGTTGATCTCTCTCTCTGACTCTCTCTCTCCCTCTCTCTCTCTCTCTCTCTCTCTCTCTCTCTCTCTCTCCCTCTCTCTCTCTCTCTGTCTGTCTGTCTCTCTCTCTGTCTGTCTCTCTGTCTCTCTCTCTGTCTCTCTGTCTGTCTGTCTCTCTCTCTCTCTCTCTCTCTCTCTCTCTCTCTCTCTCTCTCTCTCTCTCTCTCTCTCTCTCCCTCTCTCTCTCTCTCTGTCTGTCTGTCTCTCTCTCTGTCTGTCTCTCTCTCTGTCTGTCTGTCTCTCTCTCTCTCTCTCTCTCTCTCTCTCTCTCTCTCTCTCTCTCTCTCTCTCTCTCTCTCTCTCTCTCTCTCTCTCTCTCTCTCTCTCTCTCTCTCTCTCTCTCTCTCTCTCTTAAGACATCGCTTGAAATAATATTAAACGTGTTCCAGATCAACATTGCATACGTAGGCTAACAATGCATGCATATTATATGCCTACATAATTACTATATTCTTGCGACACTAGCAAGAACCCGGCATGCGTTGCAATGCCACTAAAAGATAGAAAGTGTTTGTGTTTTAATTACATTTTTGAAAAGCAATTTTTATATCGCCAATATTTATTTTTTTCGTCTGGTGTGTACACAAATAAATTAGATTTTGTTTGACTCGCGAGCAGACCTCATAGAGCTGTAGACAAAGGACGCATGGATTTTCAAAATGTAGTTCACACACTTGTAGCGATTGATTCACCCATGCAATAGCTCTGTTTGAAATTATATTTATATAATTTTTTTTTTTAAATGTATGACCCCGGTCCCAAAATAAATGTTGTAAAATGGTTGTACTAATTCAGAAACACACACACAATGAAATGTCGCTATTTGTATTTGATTCAAGCCCATCCAACCATGCATTAGCTCTGTTTGAAATTATATTTATATAACTAACATAAGAAAAAAATAAATTTAGGGCCCACGGTCCCAAAGGGAATAATGTAAAATGTGTTTACTAATTCAGAAACCCTTGTGGGCTTGTGCACAACAATGTACTAACGTTTTATTGCAATCGGATGAAAGGTATAAGAACACATACGGAAATTATATTTATAGAGCTCATATAATAACAAAATAATTTAGGGCCCCGGCCCCAAACTGAATATTGCAAAATGACAGTACTAATTCAGAAAGCTTTCCAGGCCTGTTGATTAAAAACTCACCAAAGTTTTATCGCAATCGGATGAATGGTATCGGAACGCATGCTGAAATTATATTTAAATAGCTCATATAGGAAAAAAAACAAATTTAGGGCCCCCTGCCCCAAACGTAAAATTGTAGAATGGTCATACGAATTCATAAACCTACTTATTCTGTAACACACAAACTGGAATGTCACTATTTGTATTTGATTAAAATTCCATCCACCCATGCATTAGCTCTGTTTGAAATTATATTTGTATAGCTCATATATGTTTGACCACGCTATTGAAAATCCACGATATGTTTTCGCATCTGGCCGCAATCTGGCCTTAAAAATACGTCCAAATAGTCATTAGACGAATCGAAGGTCTCGGGGTTATGCAAGTATTTCAACGTTGAAGCTATCAACACTCAGGGAGGCAAGAAGTTCACGTGCAATAATTCATGATGGATGATATTTAATTTTTTAAACATAAATATCAAAGGCGCATCAGGTGTCAAAATTTGGCATTTCTTTAGAAATGCTCATCCAACGTTGCTTTCAGTAGTTCAAATATTTTCCTCAGATTTAACAGCCTTTTAAATTCATCTTGAGATATATCAAGATCAATTTTTTTTAATCAATAAAAAAATTTCTTAATAGGATGCTTTAGTCAACTATCTTTCATAACGTGTCTGATCAAATATTTCACCTTGAGCTAAAATCTAAAACTCAAATTAAACTACGACCCAAATTTTTCTTTCACATATTTCTGGAGAATCGTATATCTGGTAGGTGACTTTCTGTATGCTATTTCTCGTTCTTTGAAAATAAATTCATTATTCTGATTGATCTCAAGTGCATCATCATCACAATCAGAATCATCAGAATCGTTGTCTTCTACAGGTTGATGTTGTTCAGGTTAAAGAGTTTTTTTTTATATTTTAATTTATAAAGGACGTCTAAGATAAAAAGGTGTACACCGGATGAGAAAGACGCAGTTGATGGTAACACACTGCTTCACGTCCTAATATGGACATCACACCGGCAACGTCAGTAGTTAAGCAGACTATATAGCATCTTTCAATGAAAGTTCAAAAGTGGATAGCCTGTTTTCCAACAATTGTAAACATGTTCTGGCCGGCATGCTGCCAATCACTCTTACTAGTCCAAGATTTACACATTTCCAAACTCGTTCATTCATCCAATGTCAGTGACAGCTTAACTCGTCAAATTATGTGTCAGGGACAGTTAACTCTTTTTTTTTTTTTCCAGCATTTACGCAGTTTATTAGCCAAAAGAGGTTTTAACAGTCTCACTGTGCTTTATCACCATGTTTTTAATTGAATTAGAAGATGTCGGCGAATTGTGGCCACATTGCTTCATGATTCGTATTTGATCATTAGAAGTAATGGGAAAAAAAATTAATGGAAGACCATCCAAAGCTGCCATACGAGAAACTGTTACTGCTCAGCTTTTTGAACTTGATAAACAGACTTAGAGTGAAGATCAGCTGTTGTGCCTCCCAACGTACCTTTAAGTATCTTGTCCATAGCTTTCAAGAATTAATACCAAACTGATGTCTTTGTTTGCGATAGTTTCATCTGCTTTTCATATTTAGGTTGTTTTTTTTTTCAAGGTCCCATTTCTTCTTATCAACCTGGATGTACAATAAATCATTATAAGAATAAATCTTAACAAAAAATTCTGTCTATAATTTATTTACATTGAATTGTTTTGACGTGTCCAACTTTTTAAACAATGTTTAACCTTTCATGTAAACGTTTAGCTAGGTACGGCACAGACAAACTTGGACATACAGCCTTGGACAAAGTAGCCCTAGTATTGTTATACATCCAAAAACAAAATCAATTTTGAAGTGAATTATTAATATTTTTTTATCACAAAAATGGAAGTAACATAGTTTTGATTATCCAATATGCAGGTACTTTGATATAATTAAAGGAAACCAAGCAACCAAACAATTTTGTTATCAAAAGTTGACCCCTCGATTCGAGTGCAGCGTGATTTTATTGCCATATAATTCATTGACAAACAAACTCTTAATGGTAGTCAAAATTCGATCTTCATTGGATTACACCAATTACTTACGTGACATACTCACCAACCCTGCTGTACTAACGTCTTCATGTGCGCACGAATGATGTAAAAACAAAACTAATCACAACGCCATGCTTCTTAATTAACAAAAGAATCACAGTACATACATCTAGCCCGTCAGGTGGCTCTTTTGAACTTCATACACGTGGTGTGAGGGGTTCGCACTATCTAGCCCGTCGGATGGCTCTTTTGAACTTCATACACGTGGTGTGAGGGGTTCGCACTATCTAGCCCGTCGGATGGCTCTTTTGAACTTCATACACGTGGTGTGAGGGGTTCGCACTTGGCAGATCGCATAAATTATTGAAATTTCTTGCTTTAACTA